GCGCAGCCCTCCTGGTCAGTACGGTGTAGGCACGGTGTGGGGGTGGGGGCGGCCGGTTGGCCAATTCCACGGCAAACGGGCTCAAGCTCTAGTCAGCACTGTCGCCCTATCGCCGGAACGGCCGGGCCCGGCGACCCTGCCCGCCGACGCCGTCCCCGTCCTGCCTGCCCTCCCAGCTCGCCCGCTAATTTCCCGGCAAAAACAAAGCCCCAGGATGGCGCCGACGTCGGTCCGCGACCATCGGAGTCGCGGCCGCGGTCCCCGCCTGACGGCGACGATGAATCGCGCGCGTGTTTTTGCCGCGACGCGGTGACGCGGTCCTGGCGAACACAAATCGCTGCGCGCGTGGTCGCCAAGTCCCCCGTGCGATTGGACGCGGCGCCGCCTGCAGACTCATTCCGAGCGTCGTCGCTCTGTCTCTCTCGCACTCGTGGGGCGTCCCGCTTGGGTGCGAGAGAGACGGTACGCCGGAAGTGGGAAGTGGCCGCTGGGCTGCGGATTAGCCTCGCACCAGCAGCGCGCTGTCTCTCTCGCACCCCCAGGACGCCCCGCGAGTGCGAGAGAGACAGCGCGCTGCCCGGAGGCCGCCCTGAGGCATGCGTGTGCCAAACCGTGTGCGCCGAATCAGCCACCCGTAGGATTAGCAGGCCACGCGGTGCGGCGCGGTGTCCCCCAGGCCAAGCAGGCCCTGCTGCTGCTGGTGTGCTCCTCGCTGCCGCTCCGCTGCGCCCCGCCTCGACTAAGGCACCGGATTAGCGCGCCGGGAAATAAAAGTTAATATCTGCGTCTTATTATGTTGCATATAGTGGCGCTGATTAAATTTCCGGGCGGGGCCGGCGGGGCGGGGCTGCAGGGTGGCGCCGCAGGACTCGGCGGCGTCCTGGCTCGGCGCGCTCGGCGTCCAGCTTGGCGGCGCGGAACCGACAGGACGAATGATGACAGATTTATGGCACGGGGAAAAAGCACGCGGCCCTGTTTCTCCTCCATTAGTCTCCGGCTTTGGCTCGGCCGCTTCTTGCAGTGCTCTGCATGCTGCAGTGTAGGCCCGGGTCGCCGCCGTGCCGTAATCGTAGATCTTAGCGGCTGACCCCGCGGTGTGGCCGGCCTGTTGACCAATTACAAGGAATTGTCCCAATCTCCCCCTCCCGTGCCGCCGTGCCTCCCCAGAGCCTCTCCAGACACCCTAGCCGCGCTGAAGGACTCGCGTTTCCAGCCGGCTGCCGCTACACTGCCGCCGCGGTCTGGATTGTGGGGTCCAGAGGCTGTCCGGCGCAGGCACTGCCAGGCAAGACCCTGCACTGACTGCGTATCCGATTCCAGCTTAAATTGGGCCACTGGCTCCAGCGCTGATGACGAGCCCTCGGCACTGATTCGAGCACCGATTCCGGCACACACTCCAGCAAATTCTCCAGCACTGGCTCCAGGCGCCGCTCCGGGCGGTGCCCTGGTTCTCCTGGTTCCCCCAGGTTCGGCCCGTCCCTCGCTCATCCGCGCCGGCAACAGGATTTCAACTATTCAGCTCCAACAAATGACCAGGCCGTGCGCGCCGTTTCTGTTGCCGACGTGTTTTATTCACGGCGGGGCGGGGCGGGGCGGCCCGCTGGAACGGGTTCCTTCTCCAGGCGACTCCAGGCCGGTCGACTCCCTTCATATGGCCGGGGACGTCACACGCGTTTTCACGCCATAAGCGCTCCCAATACGCAACCAATCACTGCCAAATCGGGAATGTGCCCCTCCGCCTCCCTCTCTCTCTCTCCCTCTCTCTCCCCTCTCTCTCCCTCGGCCGGGCAATAGAGCCCGTATTTGTCTTGTGGAACTGCTGCGGGGACATAGACTGATTCCCGCTCTTGGTCCGCGCCAAGAAGACCGTGCCGCACCGTGCCGGCGGGGGGTCGTCCGGACTCCGGCGACTGGACTCCAGTGACTCCAGCGGCCGGACTCTGGCAGTGTGGGCACTGGCAGCGGTCTGCGGGTTTGCCTGTCAGCGCCTGGAACGGCCTGGAGAAGGCGTAGCCGGCTAGGCAAACCCTCCTACACTGGGGGCCTGGAACATGGCGCCTGCCTCTGTGTGGCAACGCCCTTCCTCGGTTTAGGGGAGGAGAGAGAGAGAGAGAGAGAGAGAGAGAGAGAGAGAGAGAGAGAGAGAGAGAGAGAGAGAAGCGCCAGCTCTCCTGCAAACAGGCGGAATAATGTTTTTATTTTTGTCGGAGTGGCCGCACTGCGCAGACAAGGGCTGGAAGGGGGGATGCGCTTCGTGATGTCTCCGAGACGCGCTCGCCCCGGCGGCTTGGCCGTGCTTGTGCTTGGCCGTGCTTCGCCTCGCCTGCATCGTGGGACGGGAGACGGGACGGGATGGGCTCCGGATGGGTCGTGAAGCGGTCCATTAGAACATGCCTGTATTTCCTTATCACTCACACACTCCGCCTCTCTGCCTGCACCATCTCCTTTCAGAGAGAGAGAGAGAGTGCTTACCCCTTCCCTTCTGACTCCGCCTCTCCTTCCTGGCCGTCGTGATGCCAGTCGCTTTGTCCTTCTGTGCGCGGGCCGCGGGGAAATGATAAGCACTTGGAAGGCGGTGGAGGGAGAGAGAGAAAATGACGATGATAAAAAGGTTTTCTGGGCACGTGTCGCCGGGGGATGAGAGGGAGAGAGAGAGAGACAGGGATAGAGGACTGACTGGCGGCGGGCCGGGCCGTCGTGGTCGTGGGTTCGACGCCAGCTGGGGGTCCCTCTTTGTCGTCATGGCGACGCGCGCGGCCGGCGGGCTGAGGCGAAGCACGTTAGTGCGTCGTCGCTCTGTCTCTCTCGCACTCGCACGCCGTCCCGCTGGGGACTTGGATTCGGAGCCGCTCCGCTGCGTGCCTGCCTGCCTCCGCGGGGGCGGCAGCGCGACGCGGAGCGCGGATGCCGCGAGTCAAGGATGCGAGAGAGAGAGAGAGAGAAAGGACGATTATCGTAAATAATAAATATCGCGCCGCGGGACGCCGTGCGACGTAATGAAGGAACGAATGGACGGCGCAAACATTCTCGGCGGCTTGGAGGGGTGCCGCACTGTGAGCCGCGCCAGCCGCCAAGGGGTTGGCGCCGCGCCGCCGTCACGCGGCCGTCACGCGGCCGTCACGCGCGTGTCGCGCTGTCACGCCGAGCACACGCACGTCCTGGAACGCTGGAACCAACCGGTGTTGTGCCGCCTTGCTCCTGTTCCCCGGCACCTTCTCGTTGTAACTAACTCCCACCAGCGCCGCGCCACCGTCGCCACTGGCTCAGGCTGCCGAAACTCAAGACGCGTTTTGAGCTCCAGAGTCGCTTTACAGGACTCGAACCGAACGTGTGACCCCACCAATGGATTCCTCGTTCGGAGAGCAATCCATTGGTGGGGTCACACGTTCGGTTCGAGTCCTCGAGATGAGAAATTCATAACGCTGCACACACACATGCGCTCGCACACTCACAGACACGCTCGTGTGTTTGCCCCGGTGAGCCCCCGCGGGGGCGGGCGCGGCCCCGGGCGGGGTCCCGGATCGGCGACATGCCCGTCTTTTTTGTCGCAACCCGTCGGCTCTCCTTTGAGAGGGCCGCTTCGTTAGGCATGCCTAGAGCACGTCGTCGGGCCGGGACGGGGCCGCCACGGCCTCCACGACCTCCACGGCCTCCTTCGACCTGCTGGCCAAATTGTGCAAACGGCGCGGTGGTGCGCGCGGCGGCCTGATGCCGTCTCTCTCTGTCGCTCTCGCGGGGCGTTCGGCCCGGGTGCGAGCGAGACGGCGCCACGTTGGGAATCAGCCTGGTGGTGCCCCGTTCGTTAGCTGGGTCGTTTTCCGTCAAATATCGGCACTGCATAACGAAGGTAATGGCTTAGATTCGGGCCGCCTCGCTGCCGCCGGCCGCCGCCAGGGCCGCTAGGCGAAATAAAACAATGTCGAAGTGTTGTCCGCGGGTATGCAGATGTCACATTTGAAATGCGAATGAAGCCCTGGGAAATGACAAAAAGAGACGGACGGCGGCCGCCCTAAATCCGGGGGGCTTCCACTGCTGCTTCCGCGCGCCCCGCTCACTATTCATGGGCCTGATTGGTATTTCGGTCTTGGGAATATCCTCTCATTTTATTTAATCAGGCCGATCCGACTCGGGGACTGATGACCATTAGGCTGCTTCTGCTGCAGCGGGATTGGTCGCCGAGGCCGGAAAAAAAGGGGGAATGTAAGTCGCCGCGGAATTAGTCGGTTCGAGTAAAACGCGGCCCGATTTGGGGAATCGAAGCCGGAGGCATTCTTGGCGGCGTATGTGCGGCGCGGCCGAGCTGCCAAGGCCGAGACGGCAGAGGCCGGAGAGAGAACAATGGGAGCGGCACACAGTAGGCCGGAAGACCGGTGGAGGCGGCCAAAACTCTAGACGCGTTTTGAGCTCCAGAGTCGCTAAACAGGACTCGAACCGAACGTGTGACCCCACCAATGGATTCCTCGTTCGGAGAGCAATCCATTGGTGGGGTCACACGTTCGGTTCGAGTCCCATTTAGCGACTCTGGAGCTAAAATCGCGTCTGGAGTTTTGGACGCCTCCGCCGGTCTTCTGGCCCACTGTGCCTCGCCGGACTCCGTTACGGCGTTGCAGTGCGGTGCCCCGCGTTGCGGCCAGCCAGTCCGCGGTTCGCCTCCCCGCCGAGGGCCTTTTCGCGCCAGGAATTGCATCACGCGGGAAGAGGAAGGGGCGTTTGACGGCGCCAATTGGATTTGGCGGCCGCAAATTTGAATTCGCAATTAAAATTTGGCGGCGGCGGAGGATGAGGTGCTGGAAGACGGCGAGCAGGCCGTCGTCGTGGACGTCGCCCAGTTTGATGAGCTTCGAGCTATCGAGCGGCACTCGAGCAGCACGATCCTTGATCTCGATTCTCGAAGCCGCAAGCCCCGCAAGCCGAGCACGGCAGTAGCCCATTACCTAACGCGTGGTCAGCTCCCTACTCTTGTTGTTGTTTTACCGAGCCTTTTGTTTTTCTTGTTGCAGGTGAGTTTGAGATGACGGACTCAGCGGAAATACCCCAGCGACAAGTTCGAGCCGCCCGGCCGCCCCTGCCCGGTTAGTACCCCTTTGTCTCAATCCTCCTCCAAGTCGAGTAGTCAGAGCGATCCGGCGGCGCACAGTGGGCCAGAAGACCGGTGGAGGTGGACAAAACTCAAGACACGTTTTGAGCTCTAGAGTCGCTAAATGGGACTCGAACCGAACTTGTGACCCCACAAATGGATTGCTCTTCGAACGAAGGAATCTATTGGTGGGATCACACGTTCGGTTCGAGTCCCATTTAGCGACTCTGGAGCTCAAAACGCGTTTGGAATTTTGTCCGCCTTCACCGGTCTTCTGGCCCACTGTGCGGCGGGAAGCGCTGCAGCGGTGCTCTGTCCCTCTCGCACCCGTGCGGTGCGTGCCGTGAGTGCGAGAGGGACAGCCATAGTCGGCTTCGCCCTGCTAGCAGAGTGATTCCGGACCTTGGATTCGGTCGCTGTGTCTCTCTCGCGCTCTCTTGGCGTCCCACACGGTGCGAGAGAGACCGCGATACTGCGCGCTGCAGCGTGCCCGTCTCGCCACTGGGATCGGCGGGCGTGTGGAATGTGCGCTCCGCACGTCCGTGTTGCACTGCTTTGCCGTAGAAAACCTTGCGCGCGCGCGAGGCTAGGCTGCACCCAGTAGCAGTAGAAAGCGTTTCACTTGGTAGTGTAGTGGCTCGGTGTTTTAGTTTTTTTTTGCCGTGCCGACACGCATCGTGTGCCGGTTGAGATTTGACAGTGGCGCGCGAGGCGCCGCGCAGCGCCGCGCAGCGCGTTGGTGGTCGCGTCATTTTTCAGAGCGGGAAAGCGGGCGTGAAGCGTTGCTCCATTTTTATGCGCTCCTATTGGGCGTGGGCCCGCGCCGCGCCGCCCGCCCGCTCAGAGAGATCCGCCCGCTCGGCCGCTCGGAGGGACAGGGGCTTCTGGCCGCTTCTGGCGAACCTCAGCGTGACGAGACAGGTCTTGGCGGCCGTCTGGACTGAACAGGCGGCGCCCTGTCCGACGAAGGAGGGCCCCACGCGCGCCGCGCCCCCGCATCGAAAATAGAAATTATCGCCGTGAAAGGGAAGCGTTAATAAAATTAAGGGAAAATGGCTGGCCGCCCTGCTGGCTGGCTGCCCTGCTGGCTCCGATGCACAGTGGGCCAGAAGGCCGGTGCAGGCGGCCAAAATACCGGACGCGTTTTGACGAGGGGGGAACAGCTTCCCACATTCATTGTACAAAATTTGACCACATTCCACATTTCACAGTGGGTCACCCCTCGCGTTTTGAGCTCCAGAGTCGCTAAATGCGACTCGAACCGAACGTGTGACCCCACCAATGGATTGCTCTCCGAACGAGGAATCCATTGGTGGGGTCACACGGTCGGTTCGAGTCCCATTTAGCGACTCTGGAGCTCAAAACTCGTCTAGAGTTTTGGCCGACTCCACCGGTCTTTTGGCCCACTGTGCGATGATGGCCCCGCCGCTCGGCTCGGGCAACAGGGCAACACGTCGACTTTATTTCTGGGGCCGATAACGGACGACGAGGGTAGGGCTGCTGGGCGACTCCTGGAGGGGGTGTGCGAAATGAGAGGGAAAAGATACACCCGGCGTGTGTGTGTGTGGGGGGGGGACTACATTTATATAACATAATTTGATTCGCCTTTGTGTGTGCAACGGCCGGGCAGTATTGGTTGTAGTTTCCTCTGGCGACGTAAACCGCGCCACAGAGAGCGCTCGTAAACGGCACAAGTACGCCTCGCGCGCCGCGTGTGTGTGTGTGTTTGTGTGTGTGTGTGTTTGTGTCTCCTTGTGGGGGTGCAACTGGGGCGTGGCTGCTTCCGGCAAGGATTGTTGGGAGAGGGGGGGGGGGAAATCACCTGCTGAAATGTTTCCTTTTTATTTCTCCAACTTTTTTCCCTTGCCTTTGGCTCTGTTCCTCCCTTGTCCTCATGTGTGTGTGTGTGTGTGTGTGTGTGTTGGCGCTTCTGTAAGCGCAGCAGCAGTCAGTGTAGTGGTGTGTGGGGGTCGTACCAAAAGGGGTGAGGGAAGGAGGGGGCGTGGGGGTCGTGGACAAACTTTTGGGCTGTTTATGGACATCATCAGGGAGCGCTATTCACGTCGTTTTTATACCGCTACGAGGAAAAATGGGGGAAGGGGGAAAGGGGGGGGGAAGATTACCTGGAGCGGGAAATGAAAGCATGGGCACTTGTAGCGAGCGAGGCCCTCCTCGGCCCCCGATAGCAATTGGCGCGCGCCACCTGAATTTTTGCGGGGGAGCTGTTAAGACGAGAGCGCCGCCGCCGCCGGTGGAGAGCGTCGGGGCGGGGGCGCGCGGGGCGGGGGATTAGGCGATTTATTCGCTGCCCCGAAGAGTGGATAATAAAAAGATACGCAGTCTGCGAATGGGCGCGAGGGCGAGGGGCCGCCGCCCTGCTGGCTGGCTGGCTGGCTGGCTGGCTGCATACAGCGGGGGATAAAATGGCGAGTTGACGAGGGCGGCGAGTCCATGCCGATTTGGCGTGTAGTTGTGAGTGCGTGTGTGCGCGCTTTTGTTGTGGTGGAAGGGTTGCAGTGGGTCCTGTACGGCTGCAGCGGCGACGCCGCACAGTGGGCCAGAAGGCCGGCGCAGCGGCCAAAACTCTGGACGCGTTTTGAGCTCCAGAGTCGCTAAACAGGACTCGAAGCGAACGTGTGCCCCCACCAATGGATTGCTCTCCGAACGAGGAATCCATTGGTGGGGTCACACGAACGTGTCGAGTCCTATTTAGCGACTCTGGAGCTCAAAACGCGTCTGGAGTTTTGGCCGCTGCGCCGGACTTCTGGCCCACTGTGCGCCGTGTCGCGGGTGGCGCGTCGCTTGCCGTCCGCGTGACGGGGGTGTCACGGGGGGCTGGCCGTCGGGGAGGTGTCGGTGGAGGCCGCCATGCGAGGGGGACGCGGACACGGCCGGACTTTATTGCATTTAGTTTGGGCCGTACTTGGCGGGGATCGACGGGACCTCAATCCGGCGGCCGTCGTCCGTCCCCGCCGGCCCGTCCAGTGTGGTGGCGGCCCTGAGCCCCTCGCGGTCGCCCGGCCCGGCCTGCACGGCCGGCAGCCCTGGCCTGGGCCGGGCATTATATATACTTTTGTGGCGAAGCCTTAGAGAGGCCGTTGCAGCGAGGCGGCCGGGCGGCCGGACGGAGATGTCGGCGTGTTGTTAAGCGGATCAGGCTACTATGTGTACGACGAAGCCCCCCCGGGATTCGAGTCCACAACCCGTACACCAATATGGCGGCCCGGTCATGTTTGAATCAACCCCCTCCCTCCCCCCTCCCTGTGTAAATCCCCGTGCCGCGGCGAAAATCCGGGGGCCACACGGAGGGGAGGACTTTTCGATCAGGCTGCACCGGGTCGCTCTCTTTTATTTTTCGTCTTTCGCCCCCGCGGCGGATGAGAAAATGTTGAATTTTGAGGCTACTTCAATACGAGGGTGCAGATGCCAGGGGTTAGATTTCTGCAGTGTGAGTGAATGTGTGTGTGTGTGAGTGAGTGTCTGTGTGAGTGCGAGGCTGTCGATGACGCGCCGCCGGGCATAGAACATAGAACGCGCCGCTGGACGTGAAGGGCTGCAAGAAAGGCGCTTCTCCGCGCTGCTCTTGTTCTTTTTCCCCTACAGTGGCGCGCCGTGCCGGGCCTGGCGGACACGATACAGCCCATTGTTCGTTAGGACGGAAGGGTGCTCGATGTTGGACGGCGGCCTCGACGGCGGCCTCGACGGCGGCCTCGACGGCGGCCTCGACGGCGGCCTCGACGGCGGCCTCGACGGCGGCCTCGACGGCGGCCTCGACGGCGGCCTCGACGGCGGCCTCGACGGCGGCCTCGACGGCGGCCTCGACGGCGGCCTCGACGGCGGCCTCGACGGCGGCCTCGACGGCGGCCTCGACGGCGGCCTCGACGGCGGCCTCGACGGCGGCCTCGACGGCGGCTGCAGACCGTCCCTTGCGAGGGCGAGGCCGCCGTCGTCCCGGCGAGTTGAAGCCCCCATGACCCCCGCGAGGTAGGCATCGCGCCGGCAGCCCCGCGCGGCGGGTCGGCCTACCCCCTTTCCCCGCAGGCGGCTTGGAGCACGCTGTGTGGAGGCGATCCTCTTTCTCCATTCCCAATGGGATCGGGGTGCGTTTGTCGCTTCTTTGAGGAATACGGAGAAGCACGGCTTTATTGTAAGCCGCATCCTCCGTTTTATTTTTTTACATGTTCCCGTGGAAATTTTTTTTTTCAAGCGGTGTTGTCACCCCGTTCTCTTTTTCTTCCCCCTCCGCCGACCAATTTTCCTGTGTCGAAAATAATGGTTCTGCGGGGACCGAATGGAGAAGGCAGTGGCATTGACAGCCCGTTTATACTGGTGCGTGGCGGCCCGGCGGCCCGGCGGCGTGGCGGTGCGGTGTCCCATCCCGTAATCCTTCCGGGAGCCAGTGCGGTCTCTTAGCTCATCTACATGTTGGCTGCGCGGCGCGGGGCCTGGAGATGGAGGCTCGGTTCTGGAAGCCTGCCGCCGCGAGGGCCGCCCTGCGGTCGTGGGAAAAGAGGGGGCTTGGCGTAACTAGGGCCAGCCAGCCGCTACGCGCGGCCAGCCCGCCGAGGCCCGGTTGCCCTTTTTTTCGGCTCGGAAAATGCCGTATTGCCTTATAGTGGGCCACCCTTACTGGCGCGTCGTCGCGATTTTTCCAAATTTCGCAATCTGCCCTTGATCTCTAGCATTGAAAAAATATTTTTGCGTCACTTTCTTATATTTTCTTGAAAACAGGAATTTTCCCCCATATTTACTAGATGCCTTTTCTCGCTCTTTTTATGTAGTTCTGGTTGTTGTTGTTGTCTGGTGCGACGGAAGCTGTCTGGCGCGGGACCACCCCGTCGAGTGAGGCGCGGACGGCGCGGAACGGCGGAACGCCGGGGCCCCTTATGAATTACCGAGCTGGCTCTATTTTCGCTATCGTTTTGAATCTCTCGTCTCCTCGTCACCTCGCCGTCACGCCGCGTCACGCCGGCCGGGCGGCTCCCGCGTGCGTTG